TCCAAGTAAGCCGTACTGTGATTTATGACACCTTAATGCAGGGATTTAGATTTTTGCTTGTCTGCCATGGGGCACCAATTTTAGTAAAGAGTTAGCGGGGGGACACAGTGTAACTTGAGCACTGAATAATTTAGCTGCCACAGATACGGTTTAAGCCTTATAAACCTGAACATTCTGTATTTAAATACGGTAAACATTCCCTCTTGCTGTTTAACAAGAAAAAATGTAGGCAGCAAGTGTCTGGAACCCGCTCCCTACAAAAGATAAGGCAAAGAACATTCACGCGTGATTTTCTGGGGTCCATATCTGCAATCTAGTACTAAGGGAAAATATGCCGTGTTGATGTGAGTGCAAAACTTTAAAAACCCCAGGGAGTGGTCTTTGAAGTTTCTATCAAATATCCACTGAGTTTATGTTTTATTTCTAGGACTCCCTTGTATTTCTTTTCTTTGGTTTTATTCAAGGCTGCTATATGACACATTGAAACACAGACAGCAAATCCAACTGACGTATTTTGCTCCCCGCGTATTTATCGTCCCTTTCCTCCAGCGTTTTCTATTTTGCTAATTCAAGTGATTACCTAAATGGCTATTTGATTACTTGAGTGTACTTCATCTTCTCTTATTCGTACTGCTTGGGGCCTGATTTGCACCGTTTGAAGTAATGAGTTCTTTTTATTGATTACCATGAGATTTTTAGCTGAAAATGCATGATGTCTTTTACAATAGCATAGAGTGAAAGTCTGGAACAATGCTGAAAAACTAGTTTGTCTTTGCAGTTGCCTAGGAGAAGGCTTTGAATACAGTGTGCTTGATTTTGCTTATGCCAATCTAAATCAGGAATAACCTAGGGTAGTGCACTAGGAAGAGAAAACTGGAAGAGAAAATACAATTGTATTTGTAAAGCGGATGGAATATAAGGAATCAAATCTGGATGCAGCAAATGGAGGCACAGCTCCATTTCAGTAAACATTATGCAATGACCTTGCCTCTGTTTGTGCTTGGTCAGACTTGGATTCTGGAAGTGCTGCAAACCACACGCCGTGGCTGTTGTTCAGTGACACCTTACTCCTCCAGTAGTCTCACAGTGGGCTATTTGGGGTGTGAGGAACCAAACAAGATGGGTAAGAATAGCATCTGCCCTTATGTAAATGCCAACTGCTGCCACTTTTGATTGTGTTTATCTCTATAGACAGTGTCCCTGGGCCATGTTCCTCTGCTATCCTGCCAGTTTCCTTTAGACACAGCCCGGCTCATCTCCTGTGACGCAGTGTGGTAGCTTGGGGTCAGCTCAGCAGTGTTGGGTAGGACAGACCCCAGCTTTTCAAGCTGCATCCCAGGGAACTGCTCCCCTGGCTGGCATCCAAGGATGCTGGCACTGTTGTTGTCTCACTCAGGGCAGTGAAAGAGAGCGTGGCCTTTCCTGACTGCTTGTCAACCACAGTATGGCCCTGCTGCCCTCAAAGAGAGGGTTGAGGGTGAGGAGAGGCTGTTGATGGCAACACAATGTAAGCAAAGATGTGGAAATCCTGGCCAGAATGAAGAGGCAAAACTACAAGGAAAGTCATAGTCAAGAGAGCAGCAGAAAAAAGCAGGATGCCGGTTCAGAACTCTGATAACGTAGCTTAGACCCTACAAGTCTATAGGCGTAGCTAGCCTGTTGGGCTTGTGTTTTGCACTAGGTTGTCAGTCTTCTTTCATCCCTGCTGCAAATGTAATTCACACAGTGGTTTGCTCTGGAACAAACCAGCAAAGTCACTTGGTGGGGAGGCCTAGATGCCTGCTAGATTATCCCTGCTCACGAATAATCTGTGCTGCACTGCAGTCTATACACTAGTGCAGATCTGTGCCAGATCTGCTTTGGTCACCGAAACATGGCCTAGCAGACCATACAACCTTCCAGACTTGTTGGGAGAAGCATGTATGTTGGAAGGGCCCATCCAGGTACAAGGAGCTCTTGCACCAGTGTGCTCCCATAAAGCGTAGTATGAATGTTAACTCCTCATGAAAAGGCTGTGAGAGGTGAAAAGGGCTGTGAGGCTGGAACAGAACAACTGTGAGCTGTTCTGCACATCATGCAGGAGCTCTGACATGACTGCTGAACACAGTATAGATGTAACCTGAGAGACCATGTGTTTTCTGTGACTGACATCTACAACTGCTGTTTTGCTAAATTTATGCAATTTAAGAATGAATAAGCAAAGTCTCCATGAACAGGCAACCATAGGCAGATCCCTAAACAAGGTCTACCTGATCTTCCACAGCAGTGAGGTAAGAGTGACATTAGGTTTAGGTTTCACGGTCAACTTCTTGGCTGGAGTTTTCTTGACTATGATCTGACGATATACGCTAATCTCTTCCCAATTTTTTCAATTCTACTTTCTGAAGAGAGCTAGGCAGTACCACTCTGTATTCCTGGAAGGGGCTTTGGTGAGCTAATGCAGTAGGCATAGTTTAATGGCCTGGTAAAGAGGTGCAAAAATGAAAAGACCGCCTTACTTCTAAGTGGGTAATGTTAGTCATTGAACATCAGCATCAATAGGACAGGCTTAATTTGTACTTGGTTTTTACTATTTTCTTCCAGCCATGGGTGTGAGGTTGCATTGACTAGGGGCAGCACAGAGAATAGGGAAATAGGTCACACTCAAAGAGAGTTGCCCACTCAAGGAAACTTGTGGATATACAGAAAATTCTTGTCTCCTAGTACAAGCATCCAACTAACCAGAATAGCAAATCTGGTTGACTTATCTGCTCTGACAGTGAGAGGTGTGTGGAGCCAAGCACTCTTTGTGGGTTACTTTTATTTAATCCGTAACTCATATCAAAGCCTGGAAGAACTGGTGGCGTAGTTGCTGGGAGTGGGCTTGTTTGGCTATTTTTTGTTTGGTTGGTGGGTTTTGTAAATCTCGGATGGTTGTAGCCTTTGGGAAAGGATATTCTCATTTGGGCTGACATGAAGAAATTTGCAGGACAGTGGAGGAGAGTTTCGGTAGTTAAGTGTTTGTTCTGTGTGTAATGGATCTGGAAATAAGTGACCACAGGCTCAAGTTGAAAGTGTTATTCATTGGTGAGTAACGGTTCATGAGTTTCTTCGTGAAAGAAAGGGCTCCTTATGATGGCATTTCTTTAGCCTGTCTAAACAGATAAGTCAGTAAGGTCTTGCAATTTTCAGCATAAAACTTGAGATGATAGGCGTGAGTTTGGACAGTTTGGTGGGATAAATGGAAAAGAACTGAGAATGATTTCTGGAAGGGGCAATGATATTACACTATGAGCTTTGTAAGGTGTAATTTTTAATGAAGTTAGTAAAAGGTTAGTTTGCAGGATTACTCCTATTCTCATTGGTATAAATACCACTTAATTTACAGGAAAGAATACTTCTGCTCCTCCCCATAAGGAAAAAACATGATCTAAAGAAGAAACACCTGTATAGTAAAAGGAGCAGAATATCAACTTGTCTAGATTTCCTCTTCCTGCTTGTTATGCTGGTTCCAATACAGGCATATTCATTCATATTAAATTGTAACATCAGTGTCACTATTTTAAAAGACTTTTTTTCTAATGTAACAAACCTACCTCAAAATTTATTTCAGATAATGAAGGATATTCAGTGTGTTTTCTTCTGCCTTATTTCATATTGGATTTTTAATTTTTTTCTTATCCCTCAAATACATTGCCCTTGAATTTAGTGAGAGAAACTAGGGGTTTAACATACTAGTTGCAGTTCTTCTGTGCTAGTGCCTTCATACTTAGGCTACCCTGCTTAAGTTTCCACTGGGTTATATGTTCCCTAGGTTGTAACCTGGTAGTATCAAAGAGGGAGAAAACAGCATAGCATTACTGACTTTTGCTTGAGATGGTAGGAGAAAAAGCAGCATAAAAAAGTTAAGTTCATGGGAAATAACAGGCTTTCAGAGGAATGGGGAAAGTTCAACCTGGATGTGATGGCCAGTTTTACTTGCTAAATGATTGATTGTGCAGAACAGAAGGAAGAGGCCGTGAACATGCCTGTCCGTGTCAAGCACTGGTTTTGAAAGGCAATGTATGTTATTCTTACTACAACCTTTGTTGACCCAGAAGTTGGCAGAGCAGGAGAGGTACATGCTGGCTGAGAGCTGTGCAGCAGTTTTCAAGTAGATTCTTAGTCTAATAGTAACTTTCAAACAAATCTCTTCGTATGTTTTTTTTTCCTAAATTAGGGGTAGAAATATGGACTCCTGTGCATGTGTTTAAAAACAATTCCTCACTGCTTTTTTTTAAACAACAAAACTATCTGTGACCTGGTGAATGAGGGCCAGGGTGCAGTGAGCTACCAGTTCAAGTGGAGCTATAAGAAGAATAGCCACTTGATTTCACCACCACCACTGCCACTTTTAGAGAAGGAAGAGGTACATTTGTCTTTTATCATCCTCAAATTTGATGTATTTTTTTTTTCCATGCTTTCAGTGATTTTTAAGGCATGGGTACATCCTCTGAAGGTACATTCTGAATCAAGGCCCTTTTGTAAGGAAACACCAACTTTGGTTTCATTTTGTTAGCTTAGTTTCAAAGATAGTTTCACTTTTGTTTTTTGGTTTCCTAGATCTTCCTGATTTCTGTAGGCTTTGCCGCAAGCACTTTCCAGCGTGTCTTTCCAGTCTTGTCTTCTGCAGCAATATAAGGAGGGGAGGGGCTGGTGTTTGAGCTCCAGGGGGTGAGAGAGGATCTGACATGGGATGTGAGTCTTGTATCAGGATGTGAAGTGACACCTCTTCTGAAGACAATCAGGAAGCCCTTACTAAAACTAAAGCAAGAATAAATAGTGATACATCCTCCCCCTTAGCCTCCCCTTTCCCATCTTGGGCTGGTTGCCATTTCAGGGACAAGGAGATCCATTAAATAGAGCAGTGCTGTTAGGGCAGTGAATGAGGTCCTGCCAATACCACTGGTAGCCATGTGGTAGGTGGTTGCTTCTGCAGCCTCCCTGCAAGAGGATCAGGTTGGCAGCACCTGCTGCTTTAACCTCAGTACTTGGAACATCTTCTGAAGTGGTTTTGTCAGCACCTGTCCCACTCCTATTCTGCTGAGGCTCTCCTGCCTTCGGTCTCCTCGGGCTCTTTCTTTAATAGAAGAGTAAGCTCGATGGAAGAATCCCGTTTTTCTCTAGCAGTACTTTCAAACAGAGATACACTCTGCTTGGGACATGCAGATACACCTGCATTTGCTAAGGGTTGTGAAAGAAAGTCTGAAAAGTATGCCTGTGATGTGTTCAGGTGTAGTGAATCTGCCTGAGAGGTAGTACCGGAGGGTGCTTCTGTGCTTTGGTAGGCTCAGTGAAATTCCCTGTAAATAAATTCTGATTTGAAGGAGTTGTCTATAAGGAAAGAAAAACAACATAGCTGCTCACTAAAACCAGCCAACAGTTTGTTCAGTCAGCTGTCTTTTACTTCCCTGGGCTAGGATTTGATTACTGTTGACTATTTAGATTTAAAGAGTTACATTTTCTTAAGTATACATGTAATTTTTCAGTACTAACATTCTCATGCTTTTGTAGATAACTGCTATCTAATTAGTTTCATTTTTATGTGGAGTGGAAATAGAAAAGGCTTTAATTAACAACATTGTAGCTTTTTATTTCTTAAATGTGGTTACACTGTAAGCTCTCCTGCAGGTGTCTCCGGGTAGTCCAGCTCTTTACCATTAATATACGCTACAAAATAACTGCGCAGCGAATTGCAGTCAGCCCATCTCCTGTGACAGAAATGTATTTGGTGAAGAGTTGTTCTTCTGTGGTAAAGGAGACAGCTGTCATTGCTGGCCTTTTCAGTATTGTGACTGAATAGGTCTGGTACATAGAAGTGCAGGCATTAGAAATGCAGCGGTGGAATTGGCAGCTACCTCTAGCAGGAAGTTTTTAAGTCTTCTGTGTGCTAGAATAGCATGAACTAAAATACCTTACTCTGTAAACTGTCAACACTGTCCCTATATGCAGAACATACAGCTTTGTTCTTTACGTATTTCCTTCAAATGAGTACTTCCTATGTCCAAAACAATTTTTACAAAGCTTTCTCCTATTGCTGTTTCAGACTACGCTGGCACACATCATAGCCAACAGCAGCAAAAAGAACGGCACGAGGTTTGTGACACTGTCGGCCACAAGTGCCAAGACAAATGATGTTCGAGATGTCATCAGCCAAGCCCAGAATGAAAAAAGACTCTTCAAGAGGAAAACCATCCTCTTTATTGATGAGATCCATCGTTTCAATAAATCTCAGCAGGTATTGTACTACGCCGCTTTTTGGAAAAAGCCTTTGTCAGCACTTCTGTAAAATTTCCCACTTTGCCTTAAGATGATAGCTTGCTTTGGGCTTTTGATTTTAATGTTCATGTTTTTAGTAGATGAATTAGGGAGAAACAGAAAAATTAAATTCCATAACTAACTTCCAATCAATGTTTAATTATTGTGATTCAAAGGTTTAAATAAAAATCTGAGCTATACTTATAGTTGACTTATGTGCCAGGCTTTATATGACATTTTTCTGAAGTTTTATTTCTGCAAAGTCATGTTAGTAATGTTTGCCATACAGCCATACGTATCTTCATTTCAGCCTCCTCCCTGGGGGTAGCATTCTGCGTTACCTTTAAAAAGGTCTGGAATGTGGATGTGCCTAGGGTGGCTGTTTGGTTTAATGTTGTCCCCTCTTCTCTGTGAGAAAAGAGACCATAGTACCATTTAAAAAAAAAAAAAAGAGACCATAGTCGTACCATGGAAAGCTTGAATTCTGTACTACAGGTTGCGGTTTCTATATCAAGCTATACTCCAATCTTCCTGTAGTTTTCTGAGCCATCCGATAGAATTACATAGGGAACTGTAGCCCTAAAGATTGGTTCAAAGAGTATTTAGAAGTAGCCTCACTTTGTTATATTTGATAAGGAAATTTCATGATATGTGATGTTTGCCAAGCAATAAACCAAAGTCACATAAATAAACTAAAAATTTGCAGATTTTTGACACTGTTTCTTTTCAGTTGATAGTGTCCTCCTCAGTGCAAACACGAGTTATTAAGGTGAACAGCCCATAACGTGCTGTGCGTGTGAAATTAAATCATTTAGATAGCTGAGCAGATGAGCTGCCTTGTCAGTGAGGTTATTTGTCATATCAAAGGGGAACCCAAAGACTCACAAGACACGAAAAACGTAGCCTACTCACATGGGATGTTTCAGGTTGTCATTGATCGAGATCAGCTTTTTCTGCTTCCCTCCCATCCTCAGGACACTTTCCTTCCTCACGTCGAGTGTGGGACGGTGACCCTGATAGGAGCGACCACAGAAAACCCTTCCTTCCAAGTCAACGCCGCTCTTCTGAGCCGATGCCGGGTGATCGTCCTGGAGAAGCTCTCGGTTGAAGCGATGGAGGCGATTCTGATGCGGGCTGTCAAATCTTTAGGGGTCCAGGTTTTGGGCCAGGGTGACCAGCGCAACAGCTCTGCGACTGGCAGCAGCAGCGAGTGCTCGGAGTGAGTACTTTATGGGCTGCAGGGTGTTAACGCACACAACCCGAGGAATTGACTGCCTGCCAGGGAGAGAATGAAGCAGTTGGGGGATGGGAAGAGAAACCCTAGCCACTTCTGATAGTAAAGAAAAGAAGTGGCAGCATATGGCAGGGGCAGGGGGTGACAGGAGAGAGAGAGAATTCAAAGCACTGGCGCTTTCCATCCAAAACATAATTTCACCGTCTGGATTAGGAGAGAAAGTTTTATACTTGGATCTGTAGCTCCTGACTCACCCTCCCAGGATATTTAAATCCATTCTGCTGCTGAGGATTTGCTGTGGAAGCCTGTAACTGGGTCTTTGTCATGTCCTAATGTGTGTTACTTCTTGCTACTGGTTGTAAAAGCATCATGTTACCATTAAGTGGTGGATGGGGCATCCCCTCTTAAATTAATTTGGAAGTGCCTGACAAAAGTTTGTTGTTTTCTGAGAATTTTTTTTAATAAGGTCAAGGAGGACAGTACTGTTCTTTAGTTGCAGGATAAGTGCTGTGGTATGTTTTATGGTATGCTGTGAGGAGAGGGGGCTGTTGCTGCGAGGTGTTAATAGGTTGTTTTAAGATAGACTTTGCTTTTCTCTGCTCCTTGTTGTCCTAGCCAGATAGAGTCACGTTAAACGTTTGGGAGAGTTTTGGAAAAAACAAGGTCCAGATTTGTCCATAAGGGATGTTATTTGCCTTCTGAAATGGCTAGCTGGCAGATAAGAATAATGCTTGGTACTGCGCTGCTTTCATGCAAGTAATTACAGTTCCTTCATGTTGATGCTTGTCTGTACTCCTAGTAATTTACAGTGTATTGACATGGTGGTAATGGGGTAAGCACTCCATATGAAATAAATGAGAGGGAATCCACTTTGTCCTTTAGCTTTGTCATAGAATGTAAACACTAAGAATCGCTAACCGGAATGCTGAGGTCAGGGCAGGGAAGGAAAGCTATTCCCTTTTTAGCGTACCCTGCCTTATGGTTTACTCATTTGTAGCTTTTACATTTTGTAGTAATGTGAATTTTAGAAGAGAGGGCAGTACTGCATGTCAGCCTTAATGTAATGGCACAGCTGTGGTTGTGGCTACACCCCGACTGGGGTTCAGAGACTTTCCTTTCTGTACAGGATTAAAGTACAAGGCATAGTTTCAGCTGCAGTTGTTTGGGTTTGGGTTTCGCTAGACTCTCCGTATCTGTAACCTTCCATTAGCTATGGATGATTTAAACAGCACAGTGTGGTGCTTCATCAAACTGAAAGAAGCCTGGCAGGCAGACTGTCAGACTAGCACAGTTTCAGAAATCTATCCATGGAGAGAGAGGGCCCTACTCCAATGGCTAATGTGGGAGCCAAGCATTTAAAAATAAAAATGGGTTCAGAATTTAGGAGCGTTTGTTGCAGTTGTGTGTTAAGTCTTTCTCGTCTTTCCTGCTGCTGTCTGGTTCTGATCTGTAGTTGATACATACTGTTGCTGATGAGTTTGGCTTTTTATAAGCCATCCTGTCCCTTACTGCAGTTCCAGTTTTGGTCTCCCTGTTAATTCCTCCTTCTTGCTTCACTGTCCATACCATTTCTGCTCCTTCATTTCCTCTCCACGTACTACTCTGCAGGAGCAGCTGTGTCTCATCTTTTACCCCTTCAACTCCCTGCCTCTATGAAGCAGGGCTGTCATTAGATGCAGGCAGGTAACAGTGGTCATGCTGTCCTGAGGAATAAATGAAAGTCACCAATTACAGTTGAATTGGTTGTTCACTCTGCTCACCTTTGTTCCAGAGTTGGAAGAGGAGCTGTAAGGCAGCATGTCCCCAAATGTGGGGCACGCCCACTTTGAAAATGCTGCAGACATCTAGCCAGAAGGCACAAGAGATGTGTATAGTGAATATTGGATTTCGTTTCCTATGTGAGTTTCCCTTCCCAAACCATGGAAGTATAGTATGAAGTTCTGCATGTGCTGCTTGGCCTCAGTTTATCAGATGGTCTTGGTATCACATCACTTGTCTGACATGATGGCTGACCTAGATGAGATTTTGAAGAGGATGATTCTTTGTGGTCTCTCCTATTACCTTGAGGAATAAGGTGAGGGTGAATCTTCCTTAGTTTCTACAGGCATCTTTTGTGCTCAACGAGAATGCAGCCATCGCTGAATGATTCAATAGGTTTCATCGTCTCTGCACTCCATGCACATGCAGCAGTCATCAAAAGGAAAGTGTGCTCTACCTGAATCTGTTTCCTTAAATTTTCTTGGTGGCTTTTTCTTATCTTGCTTCCACCATTGCTGTGGGTTTCTGATAAGGTTAGGTCACCTGGCTTCTCTTTCATGCTGCTGTGGCCTTTTCTTGCTGAAAGGTGAAATAGAACTGCCAGGAGGTGTTACCTACTTCGGTAATTTTGTCTTTGTTACATCATCATGCTTATAAAGCTTCTTCGCCAGTTTTTGTATTAGTTACTGGATTTCTTTAGGATAAGATGTGCTTTGTGTTATATTTTCATCAACTTCACTGCCATCAAATTGTGCCTCTTAAAGCCTGCAGTAAATTAAGCTGAAAGATGGGGGAATATGAAAGGAAGAAACATACTCATGAAGAAAAGTGAGGAGAAGTCAGTGTTAAAGGAATGTTTATATTGCTGAAACTTTGCTTGTGCTTTCTGCAGTTTACGCTGTTTCAGTAATAGCACAACCTGTTCCAGGTGTACACTGATGCACTACACATGTACTGTGTCAGTGATGGAGGAAATCAAATTCTTCTTTTCTTGGCTTTTTATTTTTATCATTCAAGTGCCTCAGAGTGGTATCTCTAATTGAAGTCAGACAGTAAACTGGATGGCGGATTAATGTATTTGAAGTTAGATAGCACGGAAGACACACAGCTGAGGGAAATGAAAGGATTCCCAGTTTCCTGTTGGCAAGCCCAGACATCATGCAGTTCAGCTTGTTAGTGGCTGTATCACAAGTACTGACAGGTTTTGAATTCACTGGTTTGTAAATCACAATGTTGAAGATGGGCTTCCTTTCGGTCTTCAGTGTTCAATACCTTTTTGAAATTTATTCCCTTTTTGGAACATCCATCCAATTTTCTTGCAGGTAGTAGAGTTGCTGGGATGAGACGTGACATTCAAAGACAATGCTGTAAGGCAGTGAGCAATGCATATCATACTGCAGTATTTCAGATGAAGAACTGTATTTGCCTGTAGAAGTGTCGCAATCTGTCAAGGAGTGAGTGTAGTGAGAATAATTGCACTGAGAAAGTAAGAAAGTATTGATTTATATGTGAAAGAAGCAATGGGTACTTGATCTCATGTTCTGCTCAATTATTTTTAAATCTTTCATCATAAAGGTTCTCCTTGCTTGGACTTCCTTATATATACTCTCTGATACTGCTTACACCCTCTTGTCATTAGATCAAATGCTGCGATGTTGTACAGGTTTTATGGGTAGTTCATCATATGTTTCATGTTGTTTCTTGGCACGAACTTTCTTGAGGGTATGGAGATAAGGAGGAATTGGAAGAAAGATTTATTATCCTGTAGTGGTAGTTTTCCATTCCTTAAGCTAGTATATTACCTTCAGCTCAGTGAGTGATGGATCCCGGGGCGTCCCTTTTGACTTGTTTATGTTTTTGTCTCCAAGTATCATCAGTTACAAGGTACCAACACTGAGCGTTGGTATCCAGGGGGTGTTCAGTGTTAATTTTGGAGAGTGAAGAAAATACAAGCTTTCCCATCTGCAAGAGGATCAGGAGCTTGGGAAGAGGTCAGAAAGCATGGGAGTTATTCTGCCTTGCAGTTCTAGGGTGTGCAGAAGTCGGGTAAAGTGGAAGGGTGTAGGACACTTGAGCTTCTGAAGACAGGATGGGCTTAAAAATGTAAATACAGCTGGTGTCTTTTGGAAACCAAGATATTGAAATAATTGTCATCCTGATTTTGAAATTAGACTCCTGCCTAGTGAAGTTAAATCATAAAAAAAAAAAAAGGAATTTAAGATTTTAATTCCTCAGAAAAAATAACTGAATTCAGTTATTCTGAGTATAAAATGTTATTATTTTGAAATACTGAGTGTGAATGGAGCTGAGATTATGGAACAGGGAAGCATTATGTTATTTCAAGTCAGAGATTGTCATCAATACACTGTGCAAACAGCATGTATGTGGAAATTTTCTCTGTTTATTCTTGTTCTTGTATCATGCTCTGTATGTCGTGCTGTTATTGTAGACATGGACTGGATCAGCCTAATACATAATACATTATTTGGAGCGGAATTTCCGTTACCAGTATGTTGTAACTTGGATTTCACCGTGGAAGTGGACAAGACCTTTGCTTGTAACCAGATTTTCCATACTTCTTGTGCATATTTGTGTCAATTCCTGTAATACTAATTGCTTGTGTTGAGTCAACGGGGCATTTAAGAGTCCTATAGTGAAACTGAAGAGACAGGAATACAACTCGGCTTTCTCACCCAGCTTCTAATTAGCAAATAAATGGAAAAAGTGCTCGGAGGCCTCAACTTTGCTTGGGACAGACTGTTCTTAGCTTCTTGCGAGCATAGTACCTGCTTTTTAGTGCTTTCAACACTTCCCCTCCACTTGCAGTTGCTGAGTGCAGTTGTGGGTATCGGTGTGAGGAGGCCTCAAGCGCGTGGTGTTCTCTGCAAACAGCAGGCAAAAAGCTTAGTCCTTGCAGGTGAAACCTTCTCTTCAGTCTGCCTTGCTGGTGTATCCCAAGTGTTTGCTCAGTGCGCAGCATATTTGGTTTTGTTCCCTGTTGATGGAGGTATTAGCAGCAGGACATCTGTGTGTAGTGCCTGCTGGGTTTTTAAAAATAGCTTTTGCTTTCTTTGCTGGCTTCTTTCATTGCATATAGAAAAAGTTGGTGCCCATCTGTAGTGCTGAGGGGTGAACATTGCTCCCTGATTTTCAAGGAATTTGATGCATGAGATACTTGGCTGAATAAGTCCCTGTGCTGTTAAATTCTTCTGCTTCCCCGTTCAAACATGAAGAAGGTGTTTGAAACACCTTGGAGAGAGTGCAGCTATTTTGGAGTTCCACTGTGTGTGCGTGTTAATTTTTTTTTTCTAGCTTTATCAAATACATGAGAAATAAGGAGGTGCAAATAAAAATATGACAAGATGCATATGTGTATATAGATAGATATATTTTTCCCACAGGAT